TGACAGCATGGAGCCTGCCTGGGATTCTCTTTCTCCCTCCCTCTCTGCCCCTCCCCTGCTCACGCTCTCTCAAAATAAATAAACTTAAAACAAAATCTGGAGAAGTCCTTCCACGATCTTATTTTATTTTATTTTTTTAAATTTTTAATGTTTTATTTTATTTCCAGGAGAGAGAGAGAGAGAGACAACGTGAGCAGGGGAGGGTCAGAGAAAGAAGGAGTCACAGACTGAAACAGGCTCCAGGCTCTGAGCTGGCAGTCAGCACAGAGCCCGACGCGGGGCTTGAACCCACGAACCGCGAGATCATGACCTAAGCGAAAGTCAGACGCTTAACCGACTAAGCCACCCAGATGCCCCATCCACTATCTTATTTTCAAACTAGGAACTGAGACCTGGGATTTCCATAGGGGCAGGAGGAGGTAGTGGGCTGCAGTCACATTTAAAAAACATGAATGAGAAGCGAATGGAATTAAAAAAAAAAAAGGGGATGGGAACCTCACTGCACCTCACAAAGGTATTAAAGCAAACCTGCTCAGGGTTAATGGTTTGTGTGTGTATCGCATTGTGATGTAGGTGGAAAAATGTGTGTGGGCCAGGGCTGTGTGGTCGTGGGGTTCATGACCCGCCAGGAGTGGCCTCCCCCTGCCCGTGCATTGAGCACGGGGCTCTGTCTGGACACACACCATTCAGGCCCTGCCTGGTGCAGGGTGCAGGTAGCAAAATCCTGCTGGAGAGAAGATGAGGCCTGAGGAACCCCAGAACAGGAAGGGGAGGGTGGGGAAAGCTAAATCCAGGAGGCCTCTAGGAGGAGGGGTCGGTGTAAGATGATGCGCTCGGGGGTGGGGGGTTGGGGGATGGCTTTCTGGAGGTGGTGGAGTCTGACCTCGCCGGTGGCTCAGATTCTGACACCAGGGCCTTTCGAGGAGAGTGAAGAGATTCTGCAGATCAACAGAGACATTGCCGAGGCACACTGGGAGGGGTCTGGGGCGTGAGGGGGTAAATAAAGTTTTAAGAAAAGACCTTGAGGCCCAGCACAGATACAGACCCCAAACGGAGCCTGAAGAGCCTTAAATACCGGCCAACACGCTCAAAGTTACAGTGGGGGAAACTGAGGCCCGTTTGTCCACCCCGTACTCGCCTGGCACGTGAACGCAGGCTTTGAAGGCTTCCGGCCCAGTGTTCTCCCGAGCCACGAGGAGACTCCACATGCTGGCCCAGAGGCCACACTCCCCCTGTGTCTGCGGGGGAGTCTGTGGATGCTCTGGGTAGGAGAGGAGCTCGAGACCCCAGTGACCCTGCCCAGCTCCCCTCCCCCGACCCCGTGAGAAACACCAACCCACCTCCGTCAGTCCTGCCAACCACGTCAGCCAATCTTCAGCAAGAATTTCTATGATACTGTGACTGGACTGAGTTTGTAATAACAGATGAGTGACTTTCTCTTCCGTGTGGACCGTTCTCTCCAATCTGGTTTCCACTGGCTCTGGCCCTGCCCGTCCGTGTGCACCGGGCTCACCATCTGCGTGTCTTTTCATTACATTCAGACGGGCTCATTTTACACTTCAAGTAAGACACAGTTCCAGAGAGGCTCTGGGATTCGAGGTGGCTGAGAATGGAAGGCCCAGGGGTGGCTGGTGTAGGACCCGACTGCTGGTACAAGCTCCTTATCGGAAGCTTCCAGCAGTCGGGATGTGAGATGTCACAACCTTGCTTTGTACTTGCGATCGGGGCCCAAGGCGGGCCGAGCACGTCAGTGTGGGGCCGTCTCTGATGGTACGATTTCCCATGTGACAAACGGCCCTATTTGAAAGAAAGCTTCCCAACGTCTAAGAAATTGCTCTAAAATCTGTAGCAGAAATGGACAGGAAGTTTAAAAAATAATGGAAAAAGCCCACATCACCTTTGTTGGCCTCTGCCTTCAGCCGATTCAATGCCGTGGAGGCCTGAAGATGAGAAACCAGAGCCGGGCCTGGTGTGGTTCCCCGTGTGGATCTGCATTGCCGAGGTGTTGAGCACCCCACAGCCGCGGGGCTGACTGGCACCGTGAGATGCCATCCTGCACGTCTTTTTATGCTGTGGACGTATATAACATCAACAGTCACATCTGATTTCCTCTCCTCCACCTTGATTGAGGCAGAAGGAGGGATAAACAGCAAACGCCGTTGCCAATATCCATCCAAAATGGTAATTATTGCATCATTATATTTGGTGCTTTACTTGTCATGTACCATTAGGAGGTAACAAGATCATTGTCAGTCAAAGGCTGTGGAGATAATTAGAGCATCTATAGGTTAGCAGGAAATCAAATTGGGGCTAGTACCCATCAATGCCAGGGAGCTGAACGTAATTAGAGGGGAAAGATGCAAAGGTTGAGATGAATAGGGCCCCAGGGATTAAATACCATGACTGATTTGAGAGTCTGAGTCTTCTACATTCCGACACTGCAGATGGGACGTGCAAATAGGTGCACAGAGAAGGTGAGGCGGTGAGGTTTGCCAGGCACAGCTATCGAGATGCCGCTCAGACGGAGGGTCTGGAAGGTCCCGAGAGTTGCCCCATTTGGAAAAGCAGCGTGTGTCGTGTTTTCCAATCCACTCGTTTTTCTTTGCGCTATTTTCCCTGGTCTGGGAGTTGGGGTTATGAACGCAAGAGCAGAGCCAACAGAAGTGGGCCTTTATTCAGGAAGCCCCTGCTCTGCCCACCTGCAAGCTTTCCAGGGCTGTAAAACCAGCTCCCCTGCCAAGACAGGCTTCCGGTGCCCAGCCCCTCCCCTAACGCCCTCCCCTGTCGCTTCTGCACACGCATGTCCCAGACAGCAGCCACCCACTTCCCGCTGATCTGGGCCGCTTTTGTTCTGTCCCCACAAAGGTAACAAACACCAATCCAAACGATCTCATCCAAGCAGCAGTTTCATCAGGTTGACACAAGAGACATCAACGATTTTTTACATCTTGGAAAAACGAAACAGGTTTTAGAGGACGAGGGGGAAAGTCTGCAAACCGATGAGGGACAGGCCACGTAATTCAATGAGACATGAGAGAGAGTGGAGACGGGAAAAAAAAATATCGGGAAGCTCTTAAATAACATACTGAGTCCACAGATTGAAAACGCAAAGGAAGGAGCAAGCGATGACCGCTGTCAGAGGCCCGAAATCAGACTTGTCACCAACACAGAGAAAGTGACGCGGAGCCCCAGACGGGAGGGGCCCCCAGCTGCCTCGGCCCGCAAGCACACCCCCCAAAAGGTCCGGAAATGCCTTCTCGTGACTCAACGGCACGTTGCTTTGACCATCCCAAAAATAAAAGTAAAAAGAACGGAAGCTCCACCATGGACGATGTGGGGTGCAAACATTTACGGACACGAATCAGTGGGTCACTAACCGCGGCAGGCGGGGCAACCGACCACCGTGTCCTCACTCGGGCTGGGTTCAAGGCGTTTCTTTTCCAAGAGCCTGGTCTTGCGTGTACATGGCTTCTCGCCTAAGGTAACGATGGCCATTCTCACACAAAGAGGCAGCTGGAAGCTTTGGTTCACATTTTTTAATAACATGGCACAATTTACATCACACAAGAAGGCTCCGCCGATGAGAACATGCTGAAGATGTCAGTTTTCACGCGTCTTTTCACAGAGGGTCTAGAAAGGACTTTATTACATACAGGATAAACAGCAAAAAGGTTTGTATAGAACAATCTCTTTACAATACTGGGCGCTACACTACAGTTCCAGTGTACATATTCCTTGGGGTTTTTTTTTCTTTTTAGTTGTTGTCTTTAAAAAAAAAAAACACTACACAACATCTGAAGCTCACAACTAAACCTTCAGTTGACTACTAAAATAGATCTCTCTGCTTATTAGAAACAATGGTCTGTAGTTAACTTTTTTCCTTTTTTGCAAAAACAGGATAACAACATCAGATAGCACTTTAATATACTAGAAGGACCCAATGGAACTAATTTTATTTCATACATGTATTTTACAGTCCAGTAGACAAGATATATTGTATTTCTCTGCTAGTAAAGTCATATTCTCTCCAAATATGTAGACAAGAGGCTTAATGTATTATAAAAGTATGAAGACACGTTAAGGTTGGAGCAAAATTAAAAACACACGCACACACAAAACTTCTGTCGCTGCCACTGCTCACCCTCTGTAACTCTCCATGGCTCCCCAAGGTCGGCCTGCCGGCTCTTTCCCAGACTTTATTACCAACTGGAACACAGCGAGTCACATGAGGAAACGTGCACCTTGAACCCATCAGTTATTGAAAACAGTGAAAACATATCCATCATCTGAGAAAACGCGAAGCTTTCTTTCAGGATGTGTTTGGATGTAATCGAATCTCATTACAAACCGAGGAGGTGGGTACAGATATGAAACAGGACACACTAAAACACGCATGGCTCCCACATGAGGTGTGTGTGAAATCACGTGACCGATGGTGGCGACCTGTCTGTGTCCCCTGATTTTGGCGTCTGACAGCTCCTGTCCTCCCTGGCACTGGCTGCTCAGGCCCTCGGTTCCCTTTCCCGGGGCTGCGCTCCTTCCCCTCCCCTCCCCCCACCCCCCACATGGCCCCTGGAGCAGTTCAACTTCGAGAGCAAAGTTTCAGCCCGGGGTCCGATTTGCAAAATAGGATGTTTCTCCGTTTGGAAAAAAAACAAGCAAGGAAAACAGAGTCATATCACGGTAAGTGCTTGTTCAGGGAAAATATGACCTTAAGTATGTTGTAAATGGATTTGAAAAGGCTCCTTTGAGTTAGAAGGGCTTTTGTGAAAAGCCCTAACATTCATTGCATAGTTGAAGGGTTTAGCTGTCTATAACAATATATGGGAACCCGGCCATAGCCGACCGCGCTCGCTGATATTAAGTTTGCAAATAGCACATTTTAAGAAGTATTAATGTATTATGTTACTTACTCTTTATCTATTTACATTTGTACAAAGTAAAGCTTTCATCTTACCCTTTGCATATATGAACCATTAGCTCACGAAGCAATGTTTTCATGGTTTTTGTGGTTTTTGTGTGTTTTTTTTTTTTTTTTTTTTTTTAACATAACTATGTACATGGCCTTCCCTTCTGATCCGAAGGAGCTTCGCAGGATGGGCTTGTGGACTGCTGTTTGCTTCCCCCTCCCCCCAATCACCACCGCGTCGGTGTGTGTCTGTCATCTTCACTGTTTTGGTTCAAATCAAAGTTTTATACCAGAACCCAAAAGAGTTAGAGAACATGAGAACATAGAACTTGGCTAAAAGATCTGAAAAATTTCAACATATCATATACAAAAAAACATTTCAAAATCTGCACTTGAGTCTATACATTTTTTACAGGGGGAGGAGGCGGGGGCGCGCGGGCCCCCCCAGGTCGGTCAGGTCCGCTCTCGCTCCCCGCCCCGGGCCTGGCGCCGCGTCGGTGTGGACGCGGTCTCTCCTCCCTCGCGTCCTGCCCTCCTTACCGAGCTTCGATATCCTTCAGGGTATGGGAAGGAGGCCTCTCCCTCATCTCTGCAGACAGAGGCGTAGTCCTTCTGGGGGAGACCGGGCGGCCCCCCAGCGTGGAGATGAGCGGGGGGGGCGCGCTCAGCGCCGCCGTCGGAGGGGTCTTGTTGAGCAGTCCGTTCTGGTGCCCCGCGGTGGGGCTGATCCTGGGGTAGTGCATGCTGGGAAGCCCCGGGGTGAGGAGGCTGGGGTGCGGCAGGTGTCCGTCCAGGGAGGCGGGGTGCACGGGGTGGAGCCGCGCATGCTCGTAGTCCTCTCTGAGCATCTGCAAGCGCTCCCGCTCGTCCAGGTGAGCCCCGCGCTCGTGCTCCCGCCGCGGGTCCACGGACAGCGGGTGGTGGTGGTGGTGGTGGTGGTGGTTGTAGTCATGGGGCTCCCGGTCCCTAAAGGAGCGCTCGGCTTCGTAGAGCCGCGGGGTGGAGAGCCGGTGCAGGGGGTCGTTCCTCAGCAGGAAGTCCCTGCCCAGCGGGTCTCTCCGGTGGATGTCGAGTTCTCGGTAGGGATCCCTCAGAGGGTCCCGGATGGGGTCCCAGTGGAAAGAAGGGTACGGGAACCGCTCTCCGCCCGGGATGGGGCTGATGCCCATGAACGGGGTCATCATGCGAGTCCTGTCCAGGCTGCTGATGCTGTTCATGGGGTGAATGCCCGTCACCCCCACCGTCATGGGCATCGAGGCCAGGGGCCCCGGGTGCACGCTGGCCGAGGAGTTCGGAGGAGGGGGCTCCGAAGACCGGTGGGCCTGCGGGGCCTCGGGAGGCAGGTCGTGCTCCTCCTTGCGCTCCTCCTTCACCTTGACCTCCGAGCTCTTCTTGGGGTTCTCGTAGGCAGGTTCGCTCTTGCGCGGCTCGGCCTCGCGGCTCGAGGTGCTGTTGGGTCTGGCGCCCTCCACCACGGGGGTCCGCACGTAGGGTGACGGCACCCGGGCCAGCTGCTTGGCCTCTTCGCCCGTGGCCCGCCCCTCGTGGCCGTGGCCGTCCTTCTCCGGCAGGTGGCCCTCCTTCGCCTTGTGCTCCTCGGCGGTCGGGTCCTTGCGGGATTCTGAGTGGTCTCTCTCCCTCTCTTTGGATTTGTCTTTCTCACGAGCCTCAGTGTTCAAATGACCCCTGATCTGTTCGGCGGAGCTACGGTTATGTCCCAGGGTGCTCACCGGGAGGACAGGTGCTGGTGAAGGGTGGCTGGAGTGTCTTTTCTCAACGCTTTCCCTGTGGAAGCAAAGAGGGAAACAGAGAAGCAGATGAAACGGGCTCCCGGCCTGGCAAGGGGCTGCCAATGAAATGGTGGTGGGAGAGGAGAGGCTCGGGTCTGGCTCCCGTGGTCACTGAGGCAGACGGACGTGCCCTTCGCGTGGCAAAACCAGCCACCCTGACCTTGCTCACCTAGACTTTAGAGGAAGCTTTCTGGGGTTGAGGCGCTGGGGCTGGGGGTGAGTGGGAGAGTCTGAGGGGGAAACAATTCTCTCTGCATGTGAGATTCACGCGCCTCCACCAAGGCCACAGACGAAGCGCTTTTGGAGGGTGGAAATGGACCAACGTGGCAATACAGCCTGCCTATCTCGACTGCTAGGGTCACTGAGCGCTAAGAAGAAAGTTCTAAGAGCCCAAATGCAGACATGACCTTTGCGATACCGAGCCAGAGGGAGGAAGGGTGCAAAAGGCTTCAATCTCCCGGCATCGGAACAAGGGACGGTGTCGGAGTAAAGGGCACAGATGCTGAGCGATCTCCGGGGTGCAGCACATGAGGGGGCTTTGAAGGGAGATCACGATGTCAAGGCTTGTGGGTCGCAAATAGCACTTCTACCTTAGGAAGGGCAAGAGAACCAGAATCTGAGACGACGGGAGGGAAGCCAGGAGGCAGAGCGGAGTCCCCAGGCCTTGGGGGACAAACAGAGAACAATTTTAAGAGCACCTGCGAATGGAAATGTGGAAGAAGAACGGGGGGGTGCGGGGATCCCATCTGGGATGAGGGACTTAAGAGTATGGGGCGGAAGATTCAGAGCAACAGAAGGACAGCGGAGGCTGACTTAAAGAGGTGAGACAGGACCGGGCGTGTCGTGGGGGATAGCCCCCAGACGGCCAGGTGGCCGAGGGGAGACGCAAGACACCGAGCCGGCCCGGGAGCGTCAAGGCTCACAGGCGAGGGTGGCCGCAGCGAGAGAATGAAGGAGGGTCCCCCTGCGGATTTGGTCTCTAGCCCACATGCAAGGCTAAAGAGAGGGGTGTCTTTAAAAGGTAAGGACACAAAGAGTGTATGTCATTATGTCTTCTGACTTTAATCTACAAGGCCGTCTTGACTCCATCAAGAAAAATGTGGAGCCGGCTACGGTCCAGCTCTATTTGGCAGTTTAGAGCTGAAAGCTGAATGCCGTAAACTCCTGCTGGGTAAGAGATTTTTAACAAACTGTCCTTCTCTTTTATAAGAAAGAAACCAGTTAGGAGGATGACCTATGAGAAACACGTACTAATCGGACACATTCAGAGTCCATAAAGTTGAATTTTTTTCAATCGCTAGAGAGCGAACGTGTGCACACCCGCGCGCGCGCGCGCACACACACACACACACACATCCCATACATAGTAAAGAAAAATGGAAGATTTGGCTATTTGGGACTTAAGGAACCCAAAGCAGAGCGTTATTAGGTATTTTCTGTTAAGCATTATGGTGTCTTTCCCCTGCTTTTCTCAGTTCATTCAGAATGAGAGTCGCCTACAAAGAGAAGTCAGAAAGGGATGCCATTCTTCAGAGAAAATGGTCTGAGACAGCTTCCTCTTTAAGGCCGTTTCTTTTTCAGGCCTGGGTTACCAAGTACAGAGGTTAAAAAAAAAAACAACACAAAAAAAGGTTAGTCAGGTTAATTACCCACTGGCAAAACGAAACCCACACCAGACATGTACGTGTAGGTTTGCAAACTCGATGAGTCATCTGTGAGCCCAGGATTTGAGTTTGAACGAAATTTGAGAAAAATATGATGAGACAATGCAAACGTGACTTTCTCAAAGCAAACAAAAAAAGAGAGAGAGGGAGGGCGGGAGACAGAGAAAAAACCTATGGATGATTTAATGGACTGCACGAACTTGAAAGCAAATATGGTGTTGATTCATGCTGTGTGTGTTTGGTCCAAAGCTCCAACTCACTGTCTCTGAGAGCAAGATTTCTGTCTGGATACGCTAACGCTCGCGGGGCCGTCCGAGGCTCTGAGTGTGCGTCTGTGTCTGAGTTGGGAAGCTCTCGCTGTGCTGTGGTTTTTATCCTAGGGTCGCGGGGCACTACGGGGCCGAGGGGGTGCGCTTGGGGGCTTCGGGGGCCAGCCCCAGGCGGAGCGAGGAGCTGAGGCCACAGGGCCAGCTGGAGCACAAGGCTGGGACGGGGAGGGTGGCACACAGCGGGCTCCCCCATTGGGACTCGAGAACGGTTTCTTTCCGTACCTTTCTTTGTCATCTTTACTAACGGATGAGTCTCGTTTATCTACATCTCTATCTCTGTCATGAGCTGCAGCGGACGCGCTACGCTCCAGCTCGCCTGGCTTCAGCCAGGGCGGAGGGGTCGGGAACGACGGAGGCGTTCGGTGCAGCCGGTTCCAGGGCTCGTGAGGGCTGCTAAAGTTCTGCACACTGGGGCCATCCTTGTGGCCGAACACTGAGTTGGGTGCTGAAATGGTGAAGTGGAGAACAAAAAGGTTTAAGAGAAATTATATAATCTGCTGTAATGGAGGTACTTACCAAAAAACTTTTAACAGCACTCAGAGTTAAAATGAATACATATTATGGGGAGCTGGAAAAGGAAAGGAGATTAACAGATTCATTAGAGGAGTGCTTGTCCTACGCTGGAGAGGTACTCGCAGCTTCTGTTCTTAAGCCAAAGGCGAGGGGGGCGGGAGGGGGTGCTTTGTAAAGGAAAGGGGGCCAGATGGGTGGCAGGAGCGCCCCGTCAGACATGTCTGGTGCATGCAGAGACCCCGAGCATGCAGAAGGGTGCGCTCTGGTGGAGTGACCCGGAGGAATCTCGCTTGGTGCGGCCACGCTGAGCCTCTACCCACAGCCCCGTGAACGGGACCGCCACCGTTCCCACAGCGTTAGCAGATAGAAACAGGTGACCTCAAAGCCCGCGCGGGGCCTTGACCTAAGCAGACTCAGAAGGTCTCCGCGCCAGACGGGGTCGGGAGGGCGAGCTTAGAGCTGCATTTGAGGCCTCCGGGGCCGGGAGAATATGGTCTACGGATGGCACGAAAGAAAACGAGTGGAGTATTCGGTGGCTGGAGAATTTCAGCGACTTAAAGTCGAGCAGGTTCCACAACTCTTTTCTCCCTCTAGATACTTTTTTTTAGAGGAAAATGACACGGGCCTCCCAGATGAGGCACCAGGACGTGCTGCCAGCTAGCCCCAGCCTGGTACTGCTTTCCAGCTATTTCCGGCCAAGTTTTCTCAGTGCCGCTAATGCCGAGGGCAAGGTGATGCAAAAGCGCTTCCCCCCCCCCTTCCAATGGGACTGTAGCTAAAGTCTTGGATAGTAGGGATGGAACGAGGAGGAGACTGAGTTTAAGCAGTTTGTTGGGAGTTCAGTCCGTGGCATCACCCCTCCCGAGGCCCAGGGACGCACTGCGAAGGCGGGCTACCCTTGAGATGTTGCTTTCGACGTAAATGCACCCTCGCCCCTCACTCCACGGCTGAGGCCTGCCTTTGCGGTGATGTAACCCAATCTGTTTCCCAAGAGGAGAGCTTCCTTTTAGCTAGAAAGGTCTTGAGCCACAGACAGATCAGAGGAGACAAAGAGTGCAGGGAGGATTTTAAAAAGCCAGAGGTACTCACTAACTGAAGGATTTCCAAGTCCCCCGAAGGCGTTGCCACCAACCGCTGCGAGGCCAGTGAACGTCGACGGACGGTTAAAAGGCTCTGCAAACACATGGGGAGGAAGGAAAAGGTTGTAGGACTGGACCCAGTGAGGAGCATGAGAGCTTCCGGGCAGGTGGGAAGGCGATGTGGGAGCCTCACCCCCTCTCCACTCAGACCCGATGCACCCCTGCTGCTGCTACCAGGTGTTGCCAGAAGTTTTCGCTGTGCTCGGATCTGGGCACTGGATTGGCACAATATTTGCGAGGGCCGTCTTTCCAGAACAGTGCCCTGTGCCCCGTGCGTCTTGCCAGGTGGGGACTGTCGCTCAGGCCCACAGTGTTTTAAGATGCCCTCCCGCCCCGTAGGTTCTAACAGAACAAGTAAATGACAGCTTAAAATAAGTCTCTCGGTGACAAAATGCTGAAGGCAAGTGTACTGTACTCCCTGTGGCCGCGTACACCACTGCCTGCACCTGCTTGTACGTTTGCAGAAGATAGCAAATACATAAAGGGCGCAGGGAAAGCGTACACCTTTGCCGGGGAGACGTATCCACAGTGAGAGGAGAAGGGATTATAAAATAGCAGGTGACGTCTCCTCGTAACGTCACCTTGCCTTTCCTTCCACCTCCGGGAGGTGCCCTTGGACACGGGGCTAGAGTTCATTGTGCCCCGCTGGGCAGGACCCGGCCGGTGTAAACGTGGATTCCCGGACGTAGCAGGACACACGCCCACTGCGCCAACGGTCCCTTCAGACGGGACGGCCACTGAGCACTCAGCTACTACTTTACGGATGTGGTGGCAGAGGTGCTGCAATCCCGAGGATGGACGGCAGGTGCGGACACTTGTTCACAAAGGCCCTGATTGCCCTGCGCGGTAAGGGAGGGGTCGAGGGCGATGGCCGACTTGCCCGGAACCACAGCGGGAAACACAGGTTTTCTAGGACACACGTGTCATTTCCCATCACGGGGGGGACTCACCCAGGTGAGCGGCAGGGTTAAGGAAGTTGGTGTGATGAGGCGGTGGCCCAAAAGGGGTCCCGGTTGGGTGTGCAGCACCTGGAAAGTCAGACGTGGCGGGATCAGACTTCACAGAAAGCCCGTTCCTACAATGGGGTCGGCTGTTTATTGCCTCGGGGCCCCAGGAGAACAGGGGAGGAAATACATTAACGGAAGGACACAGGGGCCACACGATGGGAGACGACGGGGTTTCGTTAGGGCCCCTTTCTCCAGGCGAGGCTGGCCACCCCCAAAACGGGGTGTTAACTTTTTAAAGGCGTGGACAGGCAGCCTGAGAAGAGTGGAGAAATAGCGCAAGGGCGGGGGTGAGGGGGTGACTCCGTAACCAAAGAAGTCTGCAGAAACGCCATGTCACAAAGTGCTGAGCAAGGTTCTTTACTGAAGGACTAATCGAGCCATTAGCACGTTCCTGGCCCGTTCTCCACAAGGGGAACATTTGACCACGGGACACTTTCTCCCCAGAGCATGCTGGGGGGCAAGTCTCACTCTGAGGAACACTGACCCTGAAACTACACGTTAGGGCTCGGGAGCGGCTGTCGCCTGGCGGCATGTCTGGGCCGCGATGCCTTGCCCCACCCGGCCCCTTTCCTGAGGATCCTGTTAGCCGTCACGGGCCCGTCTGGGAGGATGCTACAAGGCCCGGCCCTATGGACCCCACGATCGTGCGGGGCCTTCAAGTGGCTCTCTGGCTTCGGTGCCAGGAAAAGCTCCTCTAGTCTGAGTTTGGGGACACCGGTAATCTGCTACTGGCCTCCATCCGCCCGCCAGGGACCTTAGTGCTCGTTCAGTCCCCTCCTTTCCTTTGGGTCCCCCACCAATACGTATTCCCTCCAGGTGTCGCAGCATCCCTTCCCTGGAGGAAGCTGGTAAGACAGAAGGGAGAGGAGAGACCCAGGGTGTGTGCACGGGAGGCCGATGTTCCTAAAAGCGAAGGGCATCCGCCGAGCTCTCAGGGCTCACCCGAGGGAGTGTCCTAACTCACTTCGGCCCTCGGGGCCCAGCAGCAAGCTGGAAGTGGCCGCATTTAGTACGTGTGTGGGAGTTACCTGCACCGCATCCAAGTTTCCCCAAGTCACCATGTGGGGGCACAATCCAGAATTGCTTATACTGAGAAAAATGGCCTCCCAGAGAGGACGTCTACACGGCGCCTCAGTGAACAGACTAATTACTCCACCATCGCTTGCATTTTGTCTACGCTCCTAGACACAACCATAAATCCCCTCAGGAAAACAGGTCACGTGGAGGAGCGCCGTCCCTCCAGAAAATCTATGAACCCAGTTTATGTTCTGGGTTGCTACTTGCTGGACTACAACGTCTGCGTGGGGCCCTGGAGGTGGGGGGGCAGGAGGTCACGGAGCACGGGCAGACCTCTGTCACAGTCACGGCCTCTCAGAATTGGAAGGGGCCTGAGGAGTTACCCATGCAGCCCTAGCTGACTTATCCCCTGCCCACACAGTACAGAAAGGACACTCCATCTCCGCCGAGCGAACACTGCCCAGAATATTCAGTAGGTGTTAATGGCGTTGCCAGCCGAATAAAAATGTGGCCGTGCACTGCCTGTGTTGTACAAGCTAATTAATGCTTCGATGAAGACGGGGAGCTTTGCTCAGCCCAGGGCCCCCAGGGGTGCCTTGCAGTTCCAGAATTATTGAAGCAAAAGAAGCCAATTCATCCAGTTGGCTCAAACGGGAGCCAGGGAGAAATCTCTCTATTTCTCTCCCCAAACTGCTCTTAATGTAGCTCTGTCACAGAGCCTAGGTGCCATGGTAACAAAGCGTCCAAATAGGTCCCCGGACGGAACTCGCAGAGAAAAACCTGAGACCTTAGCAAATTCCATCTACCCTCAAGGGTGACTCAGTTGCTTCGGCGACAAGGCCCGTTACGAGGATGATTTCCTGCCATGGGGGAGTCTCTCTCTCTGAATGGAAGAGCCTTAGGTCAACCAAAAATGAGTCTTGGCTACTGGCCTGGGAAGGCAGTGGGCAGGATGGATGGGAAGCTGGTTCCCTCGGGTCCAGGAACAGGGAGCCCCAGGAATATTTATGGCCGGAAGAACAAATCCTACTCAGCACAGAGGGCACGGAGTTACGCAGCTCGTCACCAGCATGAGCTCAGTGTCGTCATTTACGAGTAGCACGGGCGGAGCTCTGTGCCAGGCTCTGTGCAGCAGAGCAGCTTTCCAGGGCCTGCATGAGAAGCATCCTGTGATGTGCCGCATGGCCGCCGCCTTTTGTCTGTGTGTCCCGGGGGCGGAATCGGGTGGTGCCCTGATGCCGGGACCCCCACTTCCCACTGCCCGCTTCGGCACACCTAGGATGCATTTGAAGGTTAATGAACAGACCTCTCGGGTGTTTCTACCCTGTTCTGCAAGTTTTCTGCGTCGGTGCAACCAACCAGGCAAAAGTATTACCAGTCCCCAGCGGGGTCACCCTCCCCGTCACAGACCCTCCCTCACTAGGCAACTCTCCTAATCGCCTTTCTTTATCCTCAGAACCTCAAGCAATGGCACGACAGAGCATCGTGGTGCCAAGTCACTGAGCGCTGTGGGCAGCGACAGTAAGGGCAGCCTTCTACGGTTCCCGGCACTGCTTCCTTTGGATTTGCCCTTGTAAAGCCTTCTGGCTTTTTTCGGTAGCATTTGACATGCTTGTGAGTTATACCGGTTTAATACAGAAGCAAATAATGAGCCGAAGCAATAAGGGTCCCCGAGGAGAAGGATGGTCTTTTTGCTTTCTGTAACCAAAGAGGGCGTGTGAGTGAGGAAGGGTCCCTTCTCCCTGGGTGTGCTGGGGTGTGGGTTTGCAAGCTGGCATAAATTGTAGCGTTTTAAGGGAAGGTGTGAGCTGCAGCCCAGAGCACAAACAGAATCGAGAGCGCTACCTGCGAGCAACATTTCTGAGCTCTCTCCTCCAGCTCTGAACTTACCAGCGGCAGAGAACAAAGTTGAAGGCCGGGCCAGGTCGTGGGGGTGGTGGATGGCTCCAAAGAGGCTGGGGCCTGGGGGGCGGCTCAGGAACTCAGGTTTCAATCCGAAGTCCAGCTTATGTGGGTCTGACTGCATCTGTTTCTAGGGGGGAAAATGGGGAAAAAGAAAAGATGAAACCCCAAGGGGAATGGGAGGGAAGAGAGAGCTTCCTGGGGGGCAGAGACCGAGAGGAGACCCTGAATGGTGTTCTGGGGCTGCGCGCCAAAGTCAGGTTCAAGTTTACAAATGCTGTGGGAAGGACAGGCCGCAGACCACTTCACCCTCAAATCAGGTAAGCAGCTCAACCTACGAGAGGCCAGTGGGGCCAGTGTTCAGTCTGGGAGGTCATAGGGCTCGAGGAATGCCGCATCCTACTGATTCAAACTGCCAGCACTCCGAAACAGTTTATTATTCGCTGTAAAGGCCCATTTTAGCAAGTTTTTAAATGATAGTATTTTAAAGCTCATTTTATTAGGAGTTCTGCATGAATAATCTGTGCAAATTAATTGTTAACGACTCTTTGCTGTACTCTAATAGATCACAGTACATTAGGAACTGCAAGTTATGAAAAAATATTTGCATGCCTACAAGCTAATTTTCAAATGATCATTGTTACATATTAAAACAAAAGCTAAAACAAACAGAAACAAAGCAGGGATATTCATTTACTGAATGGTGGTCTTTTTCTTGCCTCTGCCCCGTAACTATCCGAGGAAGAGATCAGTTGGTGAACCATCGAGAAGGTCTTTTTTTTTTTTTTTAGAGACAGTAGAGAGAGGGGCAGAATCCTATGCAGGCTCCATGCTGTCAGCACAGAGCTGGATGTGGGGCTTGAACTCATGAACTGTGAGATCATGACCTGAGCTGAAATCAAGAGTCAGATACTTAACCGGTTGAGCTGCCCATGCATCCCAAGAACTTCTCTTGTTGAGAAGCATTTGCCGTCAGCTGCCATCGCTCTATTTCCATCCATTTACATGTCTTCCCCCCCCCACCCCACAAGCTACTCTCCATTCACCTTCCTGGAAGGCTGTAGAAGCTGGCTCATCATCTCCTCACTTCCTCACTGTAGGATCATTCTTGAGGCTAGTACCCATATCAACTATGGAGTTTTCTTTTTAAAAAAACTTTAATGTTTATTTATTTTTGAGAGACACAGAGTGTGGGCAGGGGAAGGGCAGAGAGAGAAGGAGAGAGACAGAGAATCTGAAGCAGGCTCCAGGCTCTGAGCTGTCAGCACAGAGCCCACCACAGGGCTCGAACTCACGAATCGCGAGATCATGACATGAACTGAAGTCAGACGCTAAACTGACTGAGCCACCCAGATTCTCCCCAAACACGGGGCTTTCAGAGCTGCCCCACCTTCTTAATCCTCAGCAACCATCTCTCTGGATCTCATGCCTCCTCAGACAAGCATCGACCCTCTACCTGGGCTGTGGGCTGGAGGCCCCACGCTCCCCTTCCCCTGCCCACACCTCTCCGCCTACCAGGCTCCCCTCCTTCACGGCCTTTTGCGGTTTCTGAGCCACTCTTCCAACCTCTTCTGTTCGACTGAGGCTCACAGTCCATCTGGGCCTGTGCCACCTCAAACGCTCTTACATCTGCCCTGAACACATCCCTGTCCCAGTGTACAGCCAACGGGGGGGTGGGGGTGTCTCTGAGCTAGCTTGAGTGAGGATCAGAGACGAGGGAAGTCTGGCGTTCCTTCGCCCGCTCACCCACTGGGCCCACTCGAGATGAAACGTCCCTGATTACTTCAAGGTGGAAGCGATGCACTTGGAAGCAGACAGCACATTCTCGTTTCTCATGCAGACGTGGGTGTGTCTGCTGGTGAATGCTAAGCAGCTCAGAGCAGGGTGGTGAGTGTCCTCCGAGCCCGGCGCACTGACTAATCCACAGGTGGCGGGCTCTCTCAAGAAGTATTTGGTGAGTGACTACAGAATGAGGAAATGCACCTTACAGAGAAGGGGACGATGCCACTCCTGCTCGAATCCACAGCGAAGTCAGAGCCAGACCCCAAACCCAAGCTTCTAATTCACGATAAATCTATAAAAATCTTCCGAGGGGCCCCTTTTAATTTGGTTGCCAAATTATTTAGTGCTAATACTGCACGGAACACAACACAGTACCATTAACCACACTTAGGTCCACGAAGCAAAGTGGAGCCAGGGGATTACAGAGAGCTGGCTGGGAAGGGCGGGGGCGGCCATCTCCACACGCAAGATGGCTTCCTAACTGAATTGAGATAATGAAGGTTTCAGTCACCGGGGACACATTCCTGGAGCTGCTAAAGTGGCACATACAACATCCTTCATCACTTGTAACCGAAGGAGCTGTGAGGAGGCTGTGTCTCACCTGCCATCCCGCCAACCACATCGTCCAGAACAGAAAAGGAACTGACCTGAGCGTCAGGATTTAGTCAGCCCTCCACACACGCAGACCTGCTCAACCACAAGGTTCCTAATGAAACCTTGCCTCACGAGAAAGTAAAAGTGAGGAACCCTCACCGATGGGATGTCAGGACGAAGAGCAGGTGCCTGGCACCAAAGCAAAAATATCTCAGCGACCTCGTTTCCTGAGGTTGGGTTTTTAACTGTTAGCTAGGTTTGTTTGTTTGTTTGTTTGTTTGTTTGTTTTTAATCATTTAATCATTAAAAAACAAAACGGGTGCCCGGATGGCTCAGTCGGTGAAAGTGTCCGACTTTGGCTCAGGTCACGAACCCACAGTTCGTGAGTTTGAGGCCTGTGTCAGGCTCTGTGCTGACAGCTTGGAGCCTGGAGCCTGCTTCGGGTCTGTGTCTCCCTCTCTCTGTGTCCTTCTTCTATTTGTGCTCGCTCTCAAAAGAAATAAATATTTAAATAAAATGAAACAAAATATTTCTGTGACAACCGGCTCTCCTTCATTTATCAGCTTTTCTTTTTTTTCTTTCAAAATTTATTTATTGAGAGAGAGAGAGTGAGGGGGGGGGCGGGGGCAGAGAGAAGACGGAGAGAATCCCAAGCAGGTTTTATATTGATGCGGGGCCCGAACTCAGGAACAGCGAGATCATGACGTGAGCTGAAGTCAAGCACCGGTCACTTAACTGACTGAGCCACCCAGGCGCTCCTATAGGTGTCTTATTCGCTTGGAGGCTCCCAAATGCTGTTAGCACTAAATGCTTACTGTTGAAAAAATGGATTAACTGAAGCTCATTGGAATTACTTGATCCGTTGTCTTCTCCCATTTTTCTAGGCAACTTATACAGACGTTAAATCTGGACTTTTCTCAGTTATACCTATGTCAATCAGTGATGCCTTATCTGGTCATCTGCAGAAGGGTCCAGACCTATTCCTCATTGGGTCGTAAAAGGCTGGAAAAACGTGGAATGCGGTATTCATCTGTGTGACAAAAATACAGCCCAAAGAGGCAGAATAATCCACAGATGGGTAGGGTAATGGGCCAGAGGCGGTTCTGACAGGTACTGACTCTTCTCTAACTTGTGTCACTGGTCATCAAGAGGACTACCCAGAGTGTTAAAAGGTCACTGTGGACCAAACACGACGTCCAGAAGAGAATTTATTTATTTATTTTTTTTCATTCTTGAGAGACAGAGCGCAAGTGGGGGAGGGGTAGAGAGAGAGAGGGAGACACAGAATCTGAAGCAGGCTCCAGGCTCTGAGCTGTCAGCACAGAGCATGGCATGGGGCTAGAACCCATGAACCATGAGATCATGACCTGAGCTGAGGTTGGATGCTTAACCAACTGAGCCACCCAGGCGCCCCAAGAAATTCTCAACAATGCACGTTGCTGATAGAAGCTTGGTAGCACCACATAGGGTCTAAATGGCTCTATGAGCTTCTCCAAGTCATAACATGAAAACAAGGCACCAATTCTTACAGAAATGAAAACTTCCATGCTTGGCACTTCCCAGAGACTCTGTCTTTTCTATATAAACACGTGGTTGCTATAATTAGATTACCAAGGCCTTTTTTTTTTGTTTGTTTTTTTAAGCTCTTTGGATCAATATGATGACAAAATCTTCTGAAAGGAAAAAACAACCCATCAGGGAGTTATTGGTTTATTCCTGTTTTATCATTTTACTGGTGGTTTCCCTAATTAATAGTAAGATTTCCTAATAACATCTGCAAGAGAGACTTGATCCTTCCTGCCAGTGGGTCTTTAGAAACTGTTTAACTGCCTCCTCCCTCTGTCGGGAGATCACACCCTGCCCCCCCCCCCCCCCCCCCCCCCCCCCCCGCCATGCCCCTGTCCCCCTGCCCTGTCCCTGCCAGACCAGGAAGGCGAGACTGACCTTGACCTTCTGTTGGTGGTGGTAGATCTGCCAGGCGATGTGAACATGCATAGCACACCACTTCCCTGGTTTCTGGAACAAAAAAAGAGCAATGTGGTCAGATGGAAGACCTTCCAGAGAAAACCATCTCCAACTTCTTCAGAGGTTTTCAGCAGGTTTTGGCTGCAGAGGCTCTTTTTCAAGGCCTGGGAGTGCTCAGTTCCCCCTCTCCAAGAGCCTTCTCTTTGCTGCCGCCCAGGGCCCAGGCCTCAGGGAACCCCAGCCACACCCCACACCCCCTCCCGGGGCCCGAGCTGGAGGCCACTGCTCAGAAAGCCACACTTGACAGGGACCTCCCTGGTTACCGGGCACAAGATGGCAAAAGCCCGAGTCCCACTCTGTGTCTCTTCTTTCTTTTCTGGTGCCAGCTGGCGGACCCGGAGAGGGGGAAGCTGTACCTAACAAATGCGGCCATGCTACCATGCAAATTGGCTGTTCAGAAGAGCTAATTAGGGAGTGTCTGTGAATCGGCTCAAAACAAGAGAGGGTACAGAAGACCCCGCGTAGCCTCCCCCAACGTGGTTTTGTGTTGACCTCCAGAGTGGAACAAAGAGATTCACATTTTCACTGAAGCTCTGTTCCCACGAACGCTTCGCTAAGAGTCCACTACCCATTGGGGCTGGTGGGCACTGTTTGTTCCCAAGCGAAAATAGAAGAAACAAAGAGAGCTCGTTGCCTTCCTACGCTCTAGGTCTCTGCTGCCACCACGTCTGGGAGTGTTTCAAGCTGTGCCTCTCAGATCGATTCATGTCTTGCTTTCCAAGCCGAGGAGTAACTGAGTGAGCGGTCTTACTGCCCTGGAGGGCAGGGACCCTCTCTTGCCAATCCATATGTAATCTTGTTGTGTAACCTACTCACACGCTCTAAACACACGCTCAGCAACTACGGGATGGATGGGAGGAGACGCTGCCCCATTCCTACATCGGCAAAGGACAGACGCTTCTGGTTTCTATATTAAGGAGCTGTTTCTGAAACATACACTTTAAATCCAAATGTGGGGTCAGTTCTCTTGTAATGAAATCACGGGTCATATGAAATCGCCTACGCGATGACACAGTCTTCCTTTGTTTCTCTTTGGAGAAACTGAATTATCTGATTAGAGGTGCCAGAAATGGGTTAAGTATAGCTGGGAATCTACCCATCCATCTTTCATCCGACTATCCATCATTCATACCCCCTCACTTCCTACCCAGGAAGTCAGCGTTTATTCCTTGGCCACTCTCCAGACCACTCAAGATGTTAACAAACTAATGCTTATGGTATCCCTCTTCTGCACCAGAGGAATAGGCAGAATGGCTCTGAAGGTCAACATCACATACCACAGAATGAGGCAGCCACCAGCCAAGATAAACACACCCATATATGTATCTATATAAATCTATCTATCTATCTATCTATCTATCTATCTATCTATCTATAGATCTATAGATCAATCTATCAATCTATAGATCTGTCAATCTATCTATAATTATATCGATAGATCTATCTAACTATAGATCTATCTATCTATAGATCTATCTATCTATCGAGCTATCGATCAATCTATCAGTCTATAGATCTGTCAATCTATCTATAGTTACATCGATTGATCGATCTAACTATCGATCGATCTATCTATCTATCTATCTATCTATCTATCTATCTATCTATCTATCTATATCTTCTAGGTGCAGGAAAGATAGCAGAGCTCAGTGAAATCCTGATTTCTGCCTGCGGCTGAAGTCCTTTCCTTTATGTTCCCACTAGTCAAGCCTGCAACAGCCCTACCAACAAGAGACTGTGACTCGGTCGAATGTTCTGCTTGCTTTCCCTCCATGGCCTGGCTTCCTCCAACACTCAGAGCCATGCACTCTAGGCCGTCTGCGGTCAGGCATACTACCTGAAGAGCCCAGCCACTCTCCTCCCAACATTTTATTCCAACATTTCTATGCCTTGTTTCCTTGTAACGGATTTGTATTTTTAACCCACAGGGAGTCAAACAGAGGTTGCAAAACAGTTCTAGAAGAAGCTCTCTTACCCTTAACATAGGTCTGAAAGGATCTGTCAACTGTGAAGAGAAAATGACAACTTGGTTACATGCCTGTCACTCAAACAATTGCTCTAATTAACAAATTTGTAGTGCTTCATTAGGAGGGGAAATTAAAATGTTAGAATTTTACTTTTAAATGAAGCCCTTTTAGAGAATAATTAACCCATTTTCACACTATCAAAAGTGCCAAGTGTCCCCTCCCCCTCTTCACAAGCCTGGGTACATCCACGCTGACAAGCCCCCAACCAAGTTTAATCAATAGCAATTTGCCCTCTGGCAACACGATTTGCTCACATTACGCCTCTGAACAGCCCTTCCAACCACACCGCCTGGGCTCTAAAGGACGACGGTCTCGGAAGCCTGGGTACCCAGGGGCATCGGGGAGAGCTGTCCCCTCTGGACGTACCGTGGAACTAACTTCATGGGAACCACCACACTATGTGATGATCGCATGTTACTTAGAGGTATTACACACGTTTAAATAAAAGTTCACTACATGTCATAAAAATACTTACATAGCTAGTTCATTTTAAACTTCTACCTAACGCTGGCCATCGGTTTCTGACTGCCTTGACCCAGGGAAAAAGGCGATACTGTAAAAAGTACCCGTTTGTCCATATTTACCACAAAGACACACGCAAGTAATAACCCATGAGACAAGCCTGCCATCTTTTGTAGAACTTCTGATCGTTTTTGAGAGTCGGTAGAGGTACGCATTATGAATGAGTGACATAACTGAAGTGTGTGGGATATTTGACACAGATCACAGGGAGATTCTGCCTTAAAAGTAGGGGCCAGGAGAGCAGCAGGGGAGTGTCCTGTGACTTCCGGGAAGGAAAGGGCTTAGCGTTTTTCCACTCAAAACATTTTAGAGTTACTTCTTTGATGAGAAGATTTAGGAGATGCAGACAGAGAAGATTGGTTCGAACAACTGGACACAAGCTGATGGCATCCACTTCCTGGCCTTGGACCACAAGCCATTTGTGTTCTCCTCTACTGGGTCATTCCCTTCGTGTCATCAGCCACAATGGAGCAGGAGAGAAATTTTGTTCTCTAAGAATGACCGGCATTTTCTTCCACAAACTAGAAGGAACGGCTCAAACAGCAGCTGGCTCAGCTGGGCAGAGGAAGGTGCATGGCCTGGGCTGGGAGCCTGTGGAAACAACCCCCCCAACCCACCCCCTCTGCGGCCCAGCCGGACTTTCTTCTACGTACCCTAGGGTCCTTCTGGAGCAGAGTGTGAGGGACTGTCCCGGGTCGAGCGGCAACATCGATAGGGTTGGATGTCTACAAATGAATTAGACCACAGCTTAGAAGGCACAGAACACATGACCAGAAAAGCAAGATCTTTCTTTTCCTTCTAAAAGATATTTGCAAGTCAAATGTCAGTGTCATTTGTTTGTTTCATTCTGGAATACGAGAGTTCACAGAGGCATTTCCCCCACTGATCGCGCATGCTCTGAAGAGGACCCGCTCCCTAGTTTCTCAAGGGACCCCGACCCGACTTTGCCTGGTCTAGGAAGGGCATCCAAACACAGAGAGGTGGACCACGTCACATCTCACTGCAATAAAAAGCGCAGGACCAAAGAGAAGAAACATATGAAAGCCCTGCCCTTGAATCCATCTTCTTCCGAGTTACGGGCAGCCCTATCATCGTGTCTTCTGCGCTATCACCAAGCGTTCTAAGAAATGGTTGAGTGAACATCGCTGCTGTTTGCTGCATCAGAATAACTGGAAGTGTTTCACAGACATTAAGCTAACTTTAGATTTTAACCAGCAGACAATAACAAGGAATTATTCTCCATAATTACTCATTAGCAGGGATGGAAATGGAACAAGATGACCTCATTTAGGGACTGCACAGATCTACTATTAAATGATTTCTACAGTAATTCTGCTTCTGCTTTTCTAAACCACCAGCATTCTTGAATGTCATTCCTAACAATACCCTTATCTACAGGCTTCAGTCCTTTGAATCTACAGCAACGACAAAAAGCCTACTTCCGGCACCCACAGTCCCTACGATCTAGCGGATAAAGGATTCGGGACATTTTCCACCAGGTATTTTATTAAAGAAATCACAACTTCTAGGACTCCCCTCACAGCAGAAGTTAACGCGTGTGGGAAAAGAGCCCAAGCTTAGGCACAAAGCTTGCCTATAAGGAGAAGGGGGGCGGTGGGGGGGGGGGGGAAGCATGAAAGAAAGAAAAGCAATCAGCTGCTGTACAACTAACAATTAAGCTGGAGTTGTTAACAGCCTGATTTGCATACATATGAAGAACTCCGCTAATGAACAGCAATCTACATATTCAATCAGTAAGATGGCCTGGAAAGGCCTATTTCAACACCAAGAGAGACACTTTCTTGCCCAGATGTAGTTTTCGGTGTGATTGGATAATTGTGAGTGAGGGAAATAGTCTAATTTATTAAATGACCTAGCAGTCTGTTTGGGGAGGCTCTGGAGATGCCGTACAGTCCAGAGGGGACAGACCAAGGCCCAGGGTGTGAGGATGCAGGGAATGGCAGACTGGGGAAGGGGCTGAAAAATCACTGTCATTTCATCCCAAGAGAGGAGAGTTTCACAGGGCCATCACGGAAGTCCCAGGTATGGATAACCTGGCCTATAAGCCACATTTCCAAGCAGATAAACGTCATTTCTAAGGTGTACGTTGTCCCATTCCCAATGCTTTTAAACGTCTTTTCTGTTTCTAGTTTTACAACAATGTGCCTCTGGAAATGCAAAACGCACGCATCCTGGGAGACTCTGGCCCCAAACTGGTGTTTTCTCTTAGATATGAGATCGAGGAAAAAATAAATAAATAAAAGGGAAGACCAAAAACCACACACAGCAAAACTTCCTACTTAAAAAAAAAAAAAATCTGAGAATGGTTACTAACATAACTTCATTTCGCTTTTGTATAAAAATAAAGAAGAGGCTATAATAAAGCCACCTAAGGATAGAGAGTTCTGAGAATTACTCCTCAATATTGACCTTCAAAGAGAAGTCTGGCCCAAATTGAGTAGAATAACACTGACCAGGTAGAAAAGAATTTAGTTATTGTAAAGGACAAAAGGTTAATTTCACACTAGGCTGTAGGTCTTGACCTTGGGAAGTGTGGCCATGCCTGAGGGAGCACTAAGGCAGGGTAGAGCCCAAAAAGTGAAAAAAAGGGTAGGTGGCTGCCCTCCACTCAGACAGACCCTATTTGCAGACAGACGGGGCTCAAGAGCAAAACGAGGGAGGATGAGCAGAAGCCTCTCCCCTTCACACAACCGGAAGGATGCAATTTTCGTTTGGAATTGTGCTCTTCCTTCCTCTTAAAATTAGTAAAGGCTCAGCTCTGCCTCTCTGCTAATAATACGTATCTCAAGGGCAACCAGGTGCACACATATCTGACATTTCATGCATTTCTTGACCAGAAGCTTATGTCCACAATACTGGCAATAAAATATATATATATATATATATTATTAAATATATATATGTGTGTGTGTATATACACACACACACACACACACACGTATTCTGTATATTTTAAAGATTATAGGAAATCCCAGCTCAACTGAGATTACATGGGTGATACAGACTGAAAATTAAATTTGGGCTGAGGTTTAAAACTAGTGGGGTCACAAAAAAAAAATACTGTCACTCTAAACCTAGTGGTCACTTCGGATTGGAAAAATTCGTCATTGGCAGGCGAGAGGACGTAGAACCCACCCGCGTGCCTAGCCTGTGGTTCTGCCTGTGAAGATCCTCGCCTGTTTTCACGGTAAGGTTTCTTACCTTCGGCTGAAATGCTCCTTGGAGTGAACCGAAAGGACCAGTGGGCGGAATCATAGGGGGGATGCCCGATACTGCAGGAGGGTAGGAATGGAAGAGCTGTGGCCAAAGACGGAGAGGGGGAAAAAAAGATTTTAGTAGGAGGCAAATGATATATTCCAATTCCCTTCCCAAAGAACGACATCGACATGAGCAAGCCAGATAATCTTAGTTTGATGCTATTAGTCAAGAAGCCAGGATGAAATGATCACACAGATGTGCCGTGAATGCTTAACTTAAAAAGTTAAAAGTAGTTCAGAATCAATCAGCCAACAAATGATGTCCCAGATGAGGACATCCTTAGAAAGGGAGCTTTCCTAATTATTAATTGTTAAATCGGATAGAAGGCCTAAATGGTTTGAGATTTTAATGTGCATCAAAAACAGGAGGGGTGCTGAGCCAAATAAGATGCCCGGAAAATTACAAGTTAATTAGAAAAAGGAAAAAAAAAAAGAAGGAAAAAAAAAGAAAAATTAAGAAAAAAGGAAGAAAAAGAAGCAACTCTTTATGAGTTCCAGGATTTTATACCATTAAAACTCAATTAGTACTTTTAGATTTTTAATAGTTTGGAGGAAATGAGAAAATATTCACAATCCTTGCTTCATTAGGTTGCTCCAGAAGTGGCAGTTTCAGAGGACAATTTAATTGTCTCAGCTCAAACGATGACAAATATTTGTGGGAGGGTAGAAGCAAATGACTCATGTGCACTTACAACGGAGCTACTTTTTCTAGAAGGTGGACAAGCTCCCTGGGGGCTACTCAAACCCAGCCCTTGCCGTGTCTGACCACTCGGTGCAGGGAGAAGAATGATTCTGAATTAAGATTCTGAATTTTCTGGAATTAAGAGTGTATAGAGGACACAGTGGAGGAAAGGAATGTACAGCAATCCTGAACACGAGGCACACGCATCTTTTCCTCCTTCTAGAAACTGCGTATTTCTGAGATCCTACTGCTCCGATTCCATGTACGTGGATCAAACCACCATAAGGACTTTTATGTCCCACCTTCCAGGTTGCGTAAGATGTCAAAAACCCAATAATAATTCAAGCTTTTCCTAATGATGCCTTTCTGCTAGCTATTTCTAGGTAATGGCTAAAATGCCCATCTTACAATCCTGTTTTCAGGGCACGTACTTTTCTGTTGGTCTTTATTTCATTTTGCTCCCTTCAATGATGCAGCAAAGTTTTCAGACTAATTGATATTGAACTAAATCCACTTAAACAGTGATTGCAAGCCAAGTGCCCTCATTTAAAACTACTTTTAAGTCTAAAATTGTGTTTTAGATACTTGAGTGCATTGCATCTTAATTCCCCTTACAACGTCCTAATCCCCAAAGCAGGAGAGACTAAGTACTTCGTACATTATCCACTATAACTAATAAAATGAAATAACTCTCCCCCAGTATCCTGTATGAAGCAGAGTAATTAAGTACATGCCACACTAAAACACACTCAAATCTCTATTACTCTGCCTCTAGGTGGGTGTATTTCCTTTCGTGTTTTCAATTAAAAAAAATTAGATATGTTTACCATTTTCCTTTTGCTATTATAGTCCGTGACTGACCACGTGGGACTTAGAATATAGCAGGACTGCCATCCCCCACAATGAAAAATCTGAAGTACCTGAGTAATAAATTGGAAACCTGTTGTACATTCAGGCCTCTGGGCTTACTCTCTACCGTAAATCTAAGGACCCTCTGTGGAATACGCAGGTGGGAAGGCACTACGTTTTGTCCTAGGAAGTAAATCTGAGCTACCAGCTGAGCATGCTAAACTTTCTCTGGGAAGGACTTCCTTAAGCTAGTCCTTAATTTAAATCCACAAATACAGACAAAGGGTAGAAATCTGATGATCCTAAGGACGGCTCCGCTCATGGGACAGCGCTAAAGGGGAAGCTGGATTTTGCACGTCCATTAAAAAAAAAGCTTTTGTATCACAGTGCTGTGGGCAGAAAGTGCCAGAATGATGTGGGGCTCTGGCACGCAGATATACTTTCCGCATCTCTTCCTGAGTAGGCTTCCTCATGTTGGGTCTGCACTATTCCAGAGTAACTAATGCCTAATTGATTTCTAGTAGTTTGTAGTTCTGACTTCTCAGCTGCACTCTGGACTGAGATGGTGCCTGATCATCTGGTTCAGAGTATGAAGGTGTTCACGGGCTTTGCCGATCTACTGAGTAGCACTTCTTTTCGAGCAAGCGTAGTTGAGGATGGTGGCCCAACATGGCTATAGGCAATTATGCATCTTCTTTCTCTCTGGTGTCATTTAAAAAATATAAATAAACCACCGAGCAAAGAAACTTGCAAACTTTCAGGTGAAAAGGATGCAGTATTCACTCCATAATCAAAACATCATGGTAAGACGTACAAGGTGTTTGTCTCAGAAAAGAAATAAATAAAGCCCTCTTGTCTTATGTCTCCAATGAATGTACCGAAACAGGCGGGTGCCAATTTAAGTTCTAGAACCATCCTCCTTAACGAGGCATAAAATAAATTTCTTTTTGTTCTATAAAGAAGAAGGAGGTTAAAGGGGAAAATCATAAAGTTCAATCATAAGACACTCTTTTGTTTAAATAATATTTTTGGTTTTGGTTGTAACAAGCCCAGGAGAACAGGACCCCGCCACGTGGGAGAAGGAGGTCTGTCTACATTTAGTCAAGAGTCAAGGAGAATCTGCTTTGGAAAGGCTCAGGAGTCAAACAAGATGAAAGACATTCTGTTCGGAAGGAATAACTCAAGTTGGATTCTGGGAAATCTGTGTCAAGGACGCTTTGGTCGATCCCCGAAATCCTGTGATTCCAGGGTCTCCTGCGCCTTGGTGGGTCAAGTGCAGACCCTCCCCCCACTTTGAGGACAGACGTCTGGCTTGCTGTGAGTTTTGCCTGTGCTTTTGGGGGTCAGGCTAATGATCTTTTGACTCAGAAGAGGATACTGCATCTTTACCAGAAGCAAACGTCACAAAAGCAAGCATCCAAAGTGACGAGGCGTAATGGGAATTCTCGCAAAGATGATTAAGGAAGGCTGCTAGTCATTTACTGATCTGTGGCGAGAGCACGAAAATGGAAAAGCAGTTACATTGAATGTGTAGCATGGTAACAAGACTCACACTGTGCCGGTAGAATGGGTCAACTTTTGTAGGGTATTTGTCAAACTGTAAAGGGATCAAAGCAAAAGCTAGTTACTTCAAGAGTCTACATTTCTGTTCACGGCTTCGGCGGAGGCAGCCCTGAGTGAGCTTCTCCGCCCTTAGGCTGTCAACAGACTCCATGACCTCGTTGTTTGAGAGAATCCCTTCTCAACTCCAAAGTCCCTCGACAAGACATGGAAAACCCAAGTGAGAACCCACATGGTGCATGTCGGTCCCGGCTATGCCGGAGAGTCTTTCTTTCTAGGCTACATTTAGAGACCGGCATAAACCACACCTTTAAACTGGAGAAATGGGGCCATTATTCAGATAACTCAGAGAGAAGCGAGCATTTGGAATGATTTATCCAGAGAGTTCCCTCCATTTCCATCTTCCTTTTGGCCCAAGAACTATATGTTCAGCCACCTGCTGAAACGTATTAGACCCAAATATGAAGGAATCTGGGTGAGGTCTTAAGACTTTTCTTTTGAGCAGAAAAGAGCATCCCACTGCTTCCTCTAAATAACGTCGATGTCTTGGTGCTACAACCCCCCTTAGTTAGGTTTTATGTGTATAACAGCTCACTCAGGCTGCCATAAACTCTCTCCCCAAATAGTAAGCCCTTAAAAATACAACTGTTGAGAAGCACAATTCCTCCAGAAAAAAGATACAGGCCTCATCTCATATTCTCCTAAATAAAATTTCTAAAATAAACTTTAAAATCCATATTTAAAAACATTAAGTTGAACAAAATAGGGAGGGGAGGGAGAGGATGCAACGTGTAGGGAAGAGCACACCTCTTACAATCACGGAATTCAAACCTATTCTCACCACGCCGACACTAATTGCCTTCAACTTAAATCCTTCCTTAAATATTAAAACTTAAGTCAGTAAAACACTCTAACACTCACTGCGGCAGACAGGGCTCTATCTAAGAATATTGTGCACCCTAATAAGGCACTACTCACTACAGTTTGTAGGCTTAAAAAAAAAAATATCCTAAGTGGTTCATCTGGCATGTGCTACACCCGGGTCAAGACCAAGACCATGTCCTTGGTGGTGGCAGCTCTTACCATGGGGCTGACTTCCGCCCCTGTGGGCGCACTGCTCCCTGACTGCTTGCTGACAGAGCAGGATACCAGCCCGGGGACCCGTTTTATGAAAGACAAGAAATATAACCCCCCCTCAACAAAACAGGCCTGGGGAGACACCTGAAAGAGCAGGGGTAACCGATACAGTCCAGACCTTCAGACAGCTCTCTCCCCTCCTTGGCCCTCCTCCCAACAGCCAGTATCCTATGGGCATCTGTTTCTTGTTATTACTTGGTGAGAAGCACTGACAGATACGTTTTTCCATCTGGTGGCAGTCCCCAACACAAAGGTATCCTTGAAGAAGTTGATACTGACCCTGGATGGGACGGTTTGGAGGGCATCTAGAATGCCCTCCCCTGACCCCCCCCCCCACACACACAGCGCTGGACAGAACTTTCTAGAAAAAGGTTCCTACCTTAGGCCCTGGGTTAGCGCTGCCCGGAGCAGGGCACACTCCCTTCTCTCTGGCAAGGTCGGCGAAGGCCAAAGAAGCCCTCTACATGGCCAGCACCCCCCACCCCCATGCAGCCTCCTGCGCCCAGACAGCCCACTCCACCCCAGCGTGCTGCATAAGAAAAGAGTCGTGCTCTACTTATCCTCACATTTCTGCCTGGGGTACGCACCATGGGAGGTGCTGGCGTCGGCATGATGGCGGTGGGCGGGATGGCGTGGGGGAACGGTGTGAAGGTGTGCTGGTGCGTGTGCTGGTGCGTGTGCTGGTGTTGGTGCTGGTGCTGGTGGAACTCGGTCCGCAGGTAGGGCGGGGGGCCCAGGGACGCCCCGCGGTCAGCACTCTGAGACGCCAGAAAACGTGTGTTCAGTTCCTGTCGCAAGATGTCTTGCTCTGGAAGAGAAGGAAAGGGAGAAGGTGATGCTTTTTCTCCCCTCGGTGGTATCCTTCGAATCTGGACATCTGAGTCCCTGACCAGAGAGGGAGGCGGGGCCAAGGGCACCCCTGAGGGCCTCTGTGCCCCCAGATGGAAGGGGACGACCAACCAGAGGACCCCGATGCCATCACAATCTAATTCTTTTAGCCTCTAGGCTTTCGGGGACAGGCTCCAGGCTGAACAGCCGGAGGTCAATTTTCAGCTCTGTGACCGCCAGCTCAGGGACCCCTGGCGTGGGGGCGGGGGGGGGGGGGGGGGGGGACCACCCACCTAGGTCTCAGCTCCCGCATCTACCACAGGGGGACAATAATATCAACAGTATTGATGGTTCAAGGAACTCGCATAGTTGAGTGCACACTGAGCTATGTTAACCTGGCCGTGTTCTCATGTCCCCGTCTTCAAGGGGGGATGTCCACGTGGCTACAGCGGACCGACCTTGGGATACCAGCTTGGTCAACACAGGTGAGGAGAAAAGAAGCCAGTATCTAACACTGGATTTTGTTAACACTTAAAAGTCTGGGATACCTTTCCCTCCCAAGAATGTCGAAGGCCCCTGAAGACAACCCCCTTAAACCAGAATGGAATTTAAGAGACTGGAATAGAATAGTCGCGGGCCCAGTGAAGTTTCTGTCTCTCTAAGGGGATGACCCGGCACATAATCCGTGTTTTACCACACAGCGCACGACCGTAGTTGGACTTCCAACCAACTGGCTTCCCCGTGGCTGTGTCTGAGCCTCCCAGGTTGTGCTAGGTCGGTAGGATGGTGGTGTGTACTCTTGCCAAACCTCAGCCCGTGAAGGACTGGAGGAGGGTTACAAGAATCCATATCATAAAGCAGGAACTGGTCAGTCGATAAAACCCAGCCACGAAGGACAGTGGGGAGGCCCCGCGTGTGGGAGACGGGAGTGTAGATGGGTGAGGCCGGCACCCCCTCCTACCTGAGTAAGTGCTTCCGGCCGGGTGTCCGGAGACCTGCAGACCCCCTGAAGTCAGAGGTGGTGGCGGAGGCAAAGCCGTGGGAGGGGCGAACATATTGGGGTGATGTGAGTGTGCGGGAGGCTGGAGGGTGGGCGTGAAGCTGTGCAGGGGGCTGTGGTTGGGCAGTGAGAGGGGGAACGGGGAGGCCGAAGGGTGGTGAGAGATGTGAGGCGGGGCGGGCTGAGTCTTCGCTGGGGTGCTGCTTCTGCTACTGCTGTTGGAGTGACCAAAAAAAAGGGAAGAAAAGAAAAAAGCCATAAGCAATTTATTTCCTTAAAAAAAAAAATCCTATCCTATTTCCCTGCCCAGAGCCATGCAGTGCTTCCTTTTGCTCTTTCTTCTTTACAGACCCTCCCCTCATGCCCACAAGGAGCCTCTGCTACAATCACAACCTCAGGGGGGCCTGGGTGGCTCAGCGGGTTCAGTGTCTGACTCTTGGTTTTGGCTCAGGTCATGATCTCACGGTTCATGGGATCGAGCCCCGCACTGGGCTCTGCACTGATGGCGGGAGCCTGCTTGCGATTTTCTCTCTTCTTCTCTCTCTCTCTGCCTCTCCCCTGCTCGTGCTCTCCCTTTCTCTCTCACCGGTGCACACCTGGTGACCAGCCAGTGGCCGGAAACTCAAGTCCGCTCCCCCTCTGCAGCCAGATTCTCATCTCTGCCCCCAGAAACCCTGCGCCTTCTGCGCATCTTCCACAAGCCACATTTCCTCCACTGCACGAAGATGGAGGAGAACAGCGGCCTGAGCTCACCCTCTCTGACGGCTGCCCCTTACATGAAGAAGCACAGACAGGAGGCGAACCCGGGAGCCCCGCATCACCGCCATGGTCTGAAGGGCCATAGAAAGGAACTCAGGGGGCGCAGAGCAGGGGCCTGGCCCCGGCGAAGGCAGCTTCCCTTCCCTCTCCTGGACAGGAAACAGCCAGCCCCACCAGGTTAGAATTACACCCCCCGGGGGCAAGCGAGGGTGGGCCACGCTCGGCCCCACGCCTGGGGTTTCTGGCTCCCTTTCCTTGGCGGCTCCTCCTCTGTGCTGCCCTGAAAACTCTCCTTTGTAATCTGGCAAAGACAAGGCAGGAGAGCCTGGACTCCACACGGGAGCTTGTGTTTCTCCAGCCCGGCTCGCTTCTCCTACGCCTCTCTGACCCGCCCGGGGAAGAAGTACATCGTAACGGAAAAACCTCAACTGGAGGACTCCCTGGTACCCATCTTCCTGACTCTGGAGTTGCAGCTCATCCTCTCGTGGGGGCCAGTCGCTCCCTTCTAAGAATCTCCTAACACAGGGGAACTGCCTGGTGGCTCGGTTGATTAAGCATCCGACTTTGGCTCAGGTCATGAGCTCACTGTCCGTGGGTTCGAGCCCTGCATCGGGCTCTGTGCTGACAGCTCAGAGCCTGAAGCCTGCTTGCATTCTGTGTCTCCCTCCGTCTCTGCCCCTCCCCCACTTGTGCTCTGTCTCCCCCCTCTTAAAAATAAATAAATACCACAAAAAAATTAAAAACAAAAATCTCGTAACACTGGATGCTCGTAGGTCTCCACTGGCGGCCTCTCCCCAGGACAGGGTGGGGAGCTCCCCTCTCTGCTGTGTCTTATGCACCCTCCCCGTCCTGCTTTGCCCCTCCACCCAGGAGTCTCTGCGGCTGTTTTAGTTCTTCACAACGTCCTCACGCCCCGACCAGGCCCAACCTGCCTCCTCCCAAGAGACCCAAGCCTCACGGGGCCCTCTCTCCCCGACCCCTGGTCTCTGCCTCCCGGAGAGGACAGTGACAGTGTTTGCAACAAGAAACACCAGTGTCCTCGGGAACCCCCTTCCCCACTCCCGCCTGCCAGTCCCAAGGAAGACGACAAAAGTCAGGCCAAAAAAAAAAAAAAAAAAAGCAGGTTGGCTCACCTTAAGCTGTTGAGGCTTAAGCTACTGCTGTTGTAGGCGGACAACGGCTGGGAGAGGCTCTGGGCCGAGGGGTGGGCCTGCACAGGCGGGAGGCTCTGATGGAGAAGCTGGGTGGGGGACTGCGGCCTGGGCGGCCTCTGCACAGGAGGCTGAGGGGCCGGCTGAAGCTGGGCCTCTGGGGGCGCCTGGGGCGGCTGTGTGCTTGGCCGTGGGGGCTGAGGCGGGGCCTCCGTGCGCCGCGCCAAGTCAGGGTCTGGAGAGGGAGCTCGGGGCTGGGGCTCGGCCTGCGGCTGGGGTGGCGGCTGAGGGACCTGAGGGCAGGGGTCTTTAAGCACCACGGGCTCAAAGATCGGCTCTTTGCAACAGTCCTGGCTCTTCTCCTGGCTTCTCTCTAGACCCGATATCTTGGGGACAATCGGGCCTGCATCCTGGCTGTCATGTTCGGGTAGTGTGCCGACACCTAACTCCGGATCTGTGCGGGGGGGAGAGCAGAGACAAAACCACAGGTAATGACACGTGAGTGTGGAATGAGGGGCAGAAAGCACAGTCCAGGCCCAGATCACAGATCGCACGGTGTTGGCGAGGTCCCGCCTGCTGGCTTCCTGGCCTCGCTCTACCGCGTGCGGGACACGGGCACGCTGTGGACAGGCCAACGCGGCCCGGCCGGAGGAGGCTGCATTCCAGAAAGCAGCCTGGGCCACCAGAGTCTGAAAATGAATGTTTTCCTTCATCTTGACAAAGGCGTTTATGGAGCAAAATTAAGAAACAATAGCCGGCAAGTTGATTTTTCCCATTTATAACCCATACAGTTCTTGAATATACAAGGGAGCGGTGTTTTCAAACAGCAAGTGAAGCAAATGTTATTTAACCACACACAGATGTTCCTTCTTGGCCTTGCGTCTTCTCCCTTCCCATTCTGACTGATGAGACACACTTGACATTTACAGAAATAATTTTTTGTTTGGCAAGTGCTAAACTGGTCAAACGGCGGGGCCGCCTCGTGCTCACCAAGTGATCCTAGCAACGTCTGAGATCCAAGGTGCAAACATGAATTCAGATCAATTCACAGCCAGCTATACAAAGCCAGGCCTTTTAAAGGGTCCCCCACACTCCCGGCCACTGAAGGGTGCAGTGCTGAACGATGAGGCAGAGCCTAGATGTGAAATCCCACCAGCACGAACATGGGGCCAAGTCCATGCTCCTGTTACGAATTTAAAAGATACGCTTCTCTCCAAAGCCCCAAACATCCATGCCACATCTCACAGAGTATTTGGTCACCCCATTAGCCAAACCCCATAAAATCCTCTAACAGAAGAAAGACAAATATGGCATTAAATAGAAAGAAATGTCCCTATCGAGTTATGCTTTTGTGTACATTGGGGAAGGGGGCGGGGAATGATCCTTCTCGCTACTTTGCGCTAAAAAAAAAAGCCATCCTTTTATTATCACACAGCTCAGAAATCGGGAGAGAATGGGTCGCGATAGTCTCTGAAATGAGGATGTGCTCCAGGCATTCTGAAATAAACTACTTGGGGCATCGGCTTTCTCTTCCAGTCTCACTGGATCGTGTGTGAAACCTACACAGTATTCGCAAGGGTCCTATCGATTTCCGTTGATGTCCCCTTGGGCGCACACACTTGCTGTGTTTCCTCCCCTGGAATTTGCATCAAAGCGATCCATTATTTTCAACGTTCTTTTGGTAACAAAGAGATCACACCTGTGACATGCGCAGAAGCAGAAGCAAACTGGGTTTATAAACAAAGCACATTTGGGGGCTAATACGAGCCTGGCTATCTTTACAAGTGCACAGGCAGCCTCCAAAGAAAGCCCCCTCTTGGCATGTTTCAGCTACCAAAGGATAAAAACATCCAGTAAGACCCCAGTGAAAAGTTAACTCCAGACTCCTGGCATCCCTCTCACACATCTTTCCATCCAGTGCTGTCCTTCAGAGCCCTTCTGGGAAGATTTTTGATAACGATAAGCTGAAATTTTACAAATTCCCAAAACCTTAGTTTCTAACTCGAGGGCTGAGAGAGAACATCAAGATTCTTGAGGTAGACAGGCTCCATTCAGTCAGAACTCCTAAATCAGGAGACAAGACCCTTTATCTGCAGACATTCACACCAAGGGGATCTGGTTCCGCTTCGCTTTCAATGTTTTTTCCATCCCTTTTTTAACATTTTCCATAGCAAGCAATTACACGAGCTCACTGAAATACACAGGCTTCCTACAATGCGAGCTGGTTAAGTGGGTTCGGGGCCGATGCACTACCACCCCAGATATCCTAACGACACACGATAGAAGAGATTTTCCCTTGTGAGAGGTTCTGGGTGCATAAGCAGGGATTCCTCCCACTCTGACTCTCAGACGGCTAATTTAGGATCATTATGCTCGCTCTAATGGCAGGAATACATCTCTCTCCTTTTGAAGTGTTTTGTTCTCTCCAGATTGGGATGGTGAAGAAGAAATACGTACACATTTTCCATCTCATTAAGTTTAAATTCAAATTCATGTTCTCCCTCCCCAAATCGGTGTCCAAAATTTCTCTCTGACATAAAAGAAAGTTTCATTTTCCAAGGGACACCGCCCAGAGGATATATCATTTCGATTTCCTTATGCCGGTAAGGAAGCACATTAGAAATACATAGATAAGTGCTTCGTCTATCTAGCTTGACTATATTTGTCTCCTCGTTCTTTATTTAATGGGCTTCTAGAATGTGGACAACACAGCCAAGTTGGCGGGAGGCATGGTGCAGGCTTGGGCTTGCTTCCCAAGGCTGTCACGTCTGCTCTGTTGCCCCATTGTCACTGTTGGTTAGTCCCACCCTAGTCACAGCTAGAATTAGGGGAGCGGGGAGCAGACTGCTAATCACCATCCCAGACAACCAGCTGGGGGTGCACAGGAACCCTGAAATCTCTCTAGTGAGCCCTGCGAATTTCTACGGGGTTATCTATGATGAATGACTCGGAGAACCCAGAAGCACAGAATCTCGGCCTGAGACCAGAATCCGGGAAATCATGCACTTGAAGGTGCAAATGACCTGAACACCTGATTTCCAATGCCGATTAGGACTCAGGAATTCTGGGGTGGGGCTCCAGGGTCTCCTTTTCTGAATATTTCCCAGGTGATACTCCTGAGGCTTGGCCCTCTCTGTGAGTAGCACGGATCTTATTATCCAATCCTCTCTGATTAGATGGGGAATAAGCCCAGAGAAGGTACAGAACGTGCTTGCTGGAGCTCACGTGGCTGTTTCCCGAATCAGATGACTTCTGTTCTAGTCCTAACTCTTGCCACCATTAATTGCTTTTTCTCTGATTTACGTTTTGCTGCCCCCTCAGAAGGAAAGATCCCAAAACAAAGGTGATGGTAAAATCCAGGAGTTCGTTAAAATATTTGGTACAAGGAGACAGTGAAGGGTTAGGAAAGCTACAAAGAGTTGCTGGAACACTTGGACTTCAGCTACAGCTGAAAGCGATCATCAATCCGTCGATGCCCTATTGCTGCAACTTAGAAGCAAGGCAGTGGCAGGTTAGAAGGCTGGTAAGAACTTTGGGGCTGAGACAGTTTTATGACTCCCCATTTACACGAGTCTCTTGAGGCACAGATGAGGCGTCATGCATTTCTGTGGCTAATCGGTAATGCATTTCCTCTTCCTTTCAATTATTCAATAAATGTATCTTCCCCAGTTAAGCTTTTCCATCTTGACAGTCAATTTGTCTTACTGTGCTTCTCCAAAATTGGCAAGAACGCATTAAAAAAAATAATTTTGTATTGCTTTGTGTGCTCTGAGTTTGCCAAAGGATGAAATTTGCTGAGGTTGAAAGAAATAAGAATGTGCAAATGGACTCGTCTTATTTACAAGGTTTACTCATTAGAGTTTGGGGTTTTAGAATCTCTTCTCTTGTGATTATAAAAATAACACATCATGCTTATAATAAAATACATGCAAATTAAAATTACACTGCACAGTACAGTAAAAAGGGTGAATTTACCACATGTAAATTATATCTCAATAACCTTGACTCAGGGGCACCTGGGTGGCTCAGTCAGGTAAGCATCCGACTCTTGATTTCAGCTCAGGTCATAATCTTGTGGTTTCCTGAGTTTGAGCCCCATGTCTGGCTCTGAGCTGAGAGTGGGGCTTGCTTGATACTCTCCCTCTCTCTTTGCCCCTCCCCTGCTCCCTCTCTCTCTTTCTCAAAAATACATAATAGATAAAAAAATCTTTTTGACTCAAACACATTTTTTTTTAAAAAGATAAGGGCAGATTAGGAAAACCCAGTTTAATTTTGATACACATCTGTTACAAGCTTCTTGGGGGAAATGGGGCAGAATATAAACCCCACCACCTCTGTGGAGGGTAATTTGGCAACACTTAGCTAAGAAACTAAAGGAATTCTCTTCACTAGATCTCAATAGACACCATGAAACAACATCATGGTAAGAATTACAAGTTTGGAAAGAAGGGAGATGGACTCATTTGGAGATTGGTTACATATAAATCTGGTACATCCACACAGTGGAAGAAATTACAGCTTGAAAATGAATGAGGAACTCTGCATATATAACATACAGCCCAGTGCCAGCTTCTGTGAAAGATGGAAGAAAAATAATATACATTCCTTTTTACTTTGTGCATATAGATGCTCCAGAAGGGTACTTAAGATACCAGAGGCAGTGGTTTTCTGTATGGGGGCTCAGGCAGGAAAACCAGACATTTAGGGAGCGGGAGGAGAGGGAGATCTTTGACTCTCTCTCTCTCTCTCTCTCTCTCTCTATATATATATATATATATATTCCCTCTCTCTCTATATATATATATACACACACATTTGAATTTTTGAATCATGTGATCGTGTTACCTATGAAAAAAACTTTTTTTTTTTTTTTTTGAACCAGCTCAGAGCCCAACATGGGTGGGGCTTGAACTTAAGACTCCGAGATCAACACTTGAGCCAAGATCAAGAGTCAGATCCTCAACCAACTGAGTCACCCAGGTGCACCCTACCTATGAAAACTTAAAAAAAAAAATTTTGGTAGTACATCACAAAAACAGTTTGAGCATGAAAAAGAAAAGCATAGCAAACAAAACAGAATTTGAAGAGTGGTATGACCATAAACATGGAGAGTAGACTTTATACAAAATAAGGGGAAAAAAAATAAAAGTAAACTGGAAAATGACTCAATGGTCAACAACTTCCCTTCAACCCATAAATAAGTACCAGGTATATTTGGTGTTAGAGATAATGTGGACTGTACCTCTAAGAAACAAATTATTCCTGTCATTTAAATTGAAAATCAACAGAGGCGCCTGGGTGGCTCGGTGGGTTAAGCGTCCGACTTTGGCTCAAGTCATGATTTTGCAGTTGGTGGGGTTGAGCCCAGTGTCAGGCTCTGTGCTGACAGCTCAGAGCCTGGAGCCTGCTTCAGATTCTGTGTCTCCCTCTCTCTCCGCCCCTCCCCTGCTCATG